GGAGGGGCGGTGGGACACCGGGCAAGATGCGCAATATAATCTGTGGGTCCCGCGTTGCCCAACCCGCGCTCTCACGGAACGTTCTCAGTTGGCCAGCTCTCCACGCGTGCGAACTATTCTTATCGCGTAGTTTCGACATTGCGCAAACTCATTCTCTCTCCTCGTACGTGAGAGTTTATGCTGCACAGAGTTATGATTTACAAATGCATTGAGAAATTATAAACTGTTTCATTGTTACATTAGCTTTCCTATTCATTCAAATAACGACCGCATTATTTTTTTTAATTATAACTACAGGCCTGGTGAAGCACGAATCTTCTCAGCAAAGTCACACGAAATGGTTTTCCAAATAGAATGCATTCTCTTCAAGAACATCAAATAAAGTACTTTCGTATCACGCTACAATAAATTAAATATTTGAAGAAAATGAGTTTTCTCTAATATCGCAGCAATAAAGTACGGAGTACAGTACAATAGTTCTCTATTTACCAAGAGCAAAAAAGTGTTACGGTTCCACAATGAAACACGTGAATAGCAAATACTAAATGATGGGCAGCTTCTTCCTTGGATCCTTTCTGTCGCATGAAGTGAGCTGTGTCGTAAGCAATCAAGTATTTACATTTTTAATTCAAAATCGTAACTTTTACATATTTTTATTTTAGCAAATTCTAAGGTATATAATGAAACCACACAACCGAATGCAAGTTCATCAATTACTGTGTGTATTTAAAATTAGATAAAATAGATAATTCAAAAAATAAATAATTTTTAGTTTACATAATTAGTAATAAATAATATTATAAATATTTTCGAATATTATTTCTAAAACTATTTCTTCAGAATCTGCATCAAATTTTTAAAAAACGGCTACTTTAAACCGTCATTATAATTTTTATTTATCAACGTCAAACATATTTCTTTTATATATTGTAACAAATTAATAGAAATAAAATTTACCCCGTAACTAATGCAAATTTCAAACAAATTTTAAAATATCCTACTGACAATTATATCTCAGCCGTAATAATAATTGTGGATTTCTTTGACGGTAAAAAAATATAGTTCACTACAGCTTTTTGTTACGGGTACTTTACTTGAGCAATACACCATCCTTAATTGGCGTACCTCGATGAATTCAATTTTAAAATGTATCTGCATCTTTCATTCTGCATCCAGCATAATAATGAGATTAATTTTCATTAAATTCAATATTTTTTTTTTCAAATTCTGCTGCATTTGAAGTAGCTAGACAAAATGTGTTCATACATTTTACATTGTTGAATAATGAATATAGATGTTGAATAATATTTTACTCCAAGGAAATAAACTAATACTATATCAGCAAATGCTTTCTCGCAATATTTTTAAATTCGCAATTTTAGAAAATTCACGAAAACGAGATCTGCACCATTCTCCAAATTTTTCCTTCTTCCATCAGTGGTAAAAAGTAGAAAAAATTTTGAGGGTTTTTTGAAAATAATTTGATTTAACTTCCAGCAGAAATTACGCGTAAACTACTTGTAGTGACTCTTCTGTACCGTTCTTTGATACTTACGAAAAAACCAATTAAAGAAAATATTTGCAACGATTTTTGAGAAAATAATTGTTTGAATATTGTCTATATTTCACGCAAAAGTAGGCGAAAACTTCTCTAATTTTCGAAAAATTGTACACTTTTAAACTTTTCGAGGACGAAGTTTAATAAAAATAATGGAGCCATTTTTGTGAAAATTTTGCATACATTTATGAGTTAAGTACCCACAAAAATTAATATGTTCGTTTCAAACTCGCAGAATGTCGATCCCCTTAATATCGATCGTTGAATATGAATTTTGGAAAAACTGAGCTGAACTGTTTAAACGCTGACCAGAATAAGAGTTGCCCGACAATAAGAGATTTTCTGTCGAAAATTCACCTTTTTCCGGCGCACGGTTACAATATTTTCTGTTATCGTTAGTAAGAGCGAGAAAAGAAAATAGGAAACTCTTTGCGCTACTTTGAACTAAAGGAAAATTCGACAAAAATTAATGTGCAGTAGCTATTACAATCTGCTCTTTTGATTGATAGAACTAAAACATAATCTCTCAGAAACTTGCCTCTACGTGTATGTGTGAATACCTTTAAAACATTTCAACTGTGTCCAGGAAACAACAAAAGTCATCAGTTTATTTTAGTGTCATTTGACTATTGCAGAAATTAGAAAAAAAGCTGCCTTATCCCGTATAATTAGGTAAAATTGCAAAACAATGGAAGATCCGATTACGATCGCGTTGAAATTCGGACCGCGGAAGTAGGGTCGAAACAAATCAGATTTTTTTCATTCTTATACAGTTTTGTGATTTGCTTTGTCTTTACGGATAAATATATACTATATTGACGACAAAGAAAAGTATAATTCACCCTATCTGTTCCGGAACTAGTGATATTTTCATACAGAGTAAAGTTTCGTTACGTATAGTATCAGGTTCAGACCAGGCCTGCCATAACAGCAGTTATGCGCCGCGCCGCGCCGCGCCGTCTAGGGCAGCCCCGGGCTCACGGGCCGTCTCCGGTGCCACGCGCATTACGCTCTGTGGAAACGAGATTTATGGCGTTTAACATGACTAACTATTCCAAACTTATTTTGGGGTTTTCAATTGATTGATTTTTTTTATAATTTCGGCCACGTCAAATACAAGAGTCCCGTAAGTGTAGAGCATGTTTTGTTGTGGTTATCGTTATTGCCCTGTTGCGGTGATCATTGATGCCCTGAGACATCTCTCCCGGTTATTTTGTCGTCTTACCGGAAACTAACACTTCTGGATTGTTTCATATTTCTAATTAAAGGATAATGCTGGATTGTGAGATCCAGCGCCTACGTACCTGACAGCTAGCGGGGTTTGCCCTAACCAGATATCTCCCACGAGCGGGGCACAGCCCCAGGCGAGACAAGCTCTGTGCTCCCGACTGAACTCCTTGATTGGGCGATAGTGTTGTGCATTTTCGGGTTGGCGGGTTCAAACCCGATCGAAGCCGTGGATTTTTAAGGGCGGAAAAATCCTTCGTACGCCTTCCTTCGGAGGGGAAGTAATGCTGTCTGTCCAATGTCAGTAGATTTACTTGCATGTAAAAGATCGTCAAGCCTACATGACGCCTCTGAGCTAAATTAAAAATTGCGTGTTTCTCGCCCAAGAAATGCCTCCTTCCTCTGCTACTTGGTGAAAGGAGCTTAGCGAAATTTGCGTGGTCAGACGGAAGAGCGGGCCTGATTGCGAGCGAGTCTCGCCATGTAAAATTCAATTCATAGTGCAAATATGTGTAAGTAAGGGTGAGAATCAGACAAATAAAAGGATTTGGCTCACTCTCCGTGGCCCGTTTGTTAGGGATCGGAATAACCACGAAAATCTACCGACAGCAGCCGGCCGCTAGAATTCTCCTCCAACGAGCGACTGAATGTAGTTCGCGAAAGGATTAGAAATTCTAGTCTACAAACTCTTTCTTCTGTTTCCGTTTTGTTTCCGGAATTTTAATTAATATCTCTGCCAACTTGTTTTCGGGAACATACAGAACGCTCCTCGTGCAGCCACCGAAATCTCTATTTCTGTGCGACATAGTGGGCCGACGCGGAAGGAAAAAAGAGAGAAGAAATGGCTCCAGTGATGCTATCAGCAATTGAGGGGTCACAGTCTGAATTTAGTTCAAAGTACAGGCTTAGGGCAGATTATAATCGAGAATAGTTTTACCGCAAAGAGGTTGTTACATCATTCGTTTATTTACGACGGTGCACTAAGTAGTCTGGGTAGCGCACTTGATCTTCGAGATTAAAGGCGTATTTTTGTGTGTTCATATTATCACTTTCTTTAGCCAGCACCAAAAGATAGACAGAATAAAAGATGTTTCAAATAAAATTGAAAACGTTCGTAATAATTGTTATTTGTTAGCAGTTTTACAATTTTTATTGTGAAAAATTAAATACAATCAATTTAAACATTAAATTAAAAATTTTACTATGATGCTTTGATGTTACATGAATGAAAGAATCAATGGATATGATCGTAAATTATTCAATATAAATATTCAAATTAATCAATAGTATGTAATGTATTAAGAAATCAAGTAAAAATGTCTATGGGACCGCTATACATAGCATACTGAATTGTATACTTTTTATATGACATCAAACTGAACCTCCTATTACTTTGAATAAAGGATTCGTGTTTCATTACGATGTTTATATGAAGCTTTTTCTATAATAGCTATAATATTCCTTCAAAGATGACCCGCATCAGTAATTAATTGCTGGGGCGCTCTCTTCAGGCTCACCCGCGCTACGCCTTCAACTACGGCGTGCACGACGCAGTGACGGGCGATGTGAAGAGCCAGAGCGAGCACCGCGACGGCGACGTGGTGAAGGGCCAGTACAGCCTGGTGGAGCCCGACGGCAGCGTGCGCACCGTCGACTACACGGCCGACCCCGTCAACGGCTTCAACGCCGTCGTGCACAAGACGCCCGGCGTGCACGCCACGGCGCACGTGGTGAAGGCGGCCGCGGTGGCGCCCGTTGTCAAGCAGCACATCGCCTACGAGGCCGCCGCCCCCATCGCCGCCCCCGTCGCCGCGCCCGTCGGTGAGTGCCAACGCATTCCTCATACTTGCAAAATACTAATTGAATCCTCAAAACTGTTACCAATGTTTCCCCGGGTTTGGATTTGAACTTCAGTGCAGATTCTGCAAACTGTTACACCACCAGCGTTGGTTAGCAATAATACCGACTCTAACAAAATCAAAAATTCACAATTTTCAGTCAAATATGATACTTCCGTTGTTTATACATATTTTCCGAGTTCCCGAGTATCTAACGCAACCACAAACACCCTTGACATGGCCGTAGATTGCATAGTGTTCTTTCAACTTTGCCGATCATGGTAAATTAGAGATACAGTACGAGAAATCAATGTACTGCGTATAAAGAAAGAAAAGTATTTTATATTTATGATTTGCACAATGTTATTTTTATGTCATATTGTTTCGACGGTATTTCATATTGATGCATTACATAACTTTATCCTTTTGTAAGAATAAGAAAAAGAAAGTAAAAAAGCACAACAATATATTTTCATCCGCAAAAACAATTTCCATTTCTGTAAACGAAAGTCATGACGAGGCGGATCCTCGCGCAACCAGTGCACGCCCGACGCACTCCGGTGGTGCCATCGCGGCGTTAACGCACGCCGCCTCCTCGCGCGAACCACGCGGGTCGACCCGACGTCTCTCTGTTCTAGGACGCCGAGGAATGTTTCATTCTGCGATTAAAACTTATCAAGGTTAGATAGATAGATAGATTTATGAAAGTTCGCTTTGAGCTAATGCTCGGTGGCAAAATGATAACAATTAGAATTAGACTTACAAAACATTTTCAACATTTAAAATTAGGTTTAGTTTTCGAATTAGGGGTCGATATCATAGTTCCAATTTATTTCTATCTAACTCTAAATTCACTTCTAGTTTACATAACACTTCACTACACTACACTGCACTCCCCTTCACTACACTACACTCCCTTCCCCTCCACTCCACTCCACTTCACTTCACTGTATAAGAGACATGATAATAATTATAACAATAACAATATAAGAAATAATAATAACTTAAAAAAGGTTGACAGCTACTGGGTTATGATGGAGAATATCCTTCGTTATCCAATTGAAAGGATCTTCACATCTAGAAAGTTCATAATAGACCAATTTCAGGACCGAGTGTGTGTTATAATTGTCATAATTGAACCACCTTCTTGTCTGGCTTGGCGTGGGGCTGCCAGAGTTGGGTGGCTCTAACCACGTAGGCCTAGTTGTCGCCCGAGTGCGTGGTAACTCTGCAATTCCCCACACGGAGTAGTCAATCCCTTAGAAATTTAAACTGTAGGTAAAGACTCGAATTGAACTGGGCGTTCCACTAGTACCGAGATTGCTCTTTTATAAACTATCCAGATATGAAGATCCTAGAAACATGCAATTCCATCGATGAGGCCAGCATCTATGACTGCGCAAAACAAATTCTTTCTAAAAAAGTATGATTCGGTACTTCGTTCAATAGCTAACACACACACACACACACACGCGCGCCCGCCGCGCACACACCACACACACACACACAACCCCAACCACACATAATATATATATATATATATATAGAGAGAGAGAGAGAGAGAGAGAGAGAGAGAGAGAGAGAGAGAGATGCTCACACACACACACACACATACACACACTTCATTAACCTACTTTAATTGGGTCTCCCTTTCGTAAGCTCCTGACAAATATATCCGATTCTAGCATCTCGTGTGGTTATTATTTCCATTATTTATTTTGATTCATATTATGGTTAGTTTTCCAATTTTTACTTCAACATCTTTAACTTTGTTTGATCCTATCCTTCACTACAGCTTTTTCAATATTTTTTATATTATGTGATTCCAACAATATTTCATGTTATTGTTGTGTTATGTAATTTTCATGTACATCTTTCCTTCTTATTTTGTGCAAAGTTTGAATACCACATTGACGCTATTCAAATAAATGATGGAGGCACATTAAAGCGACTATTCTCTTTTCTAATGTAATAGAGTGTGATTTGCAAGATAACTAAAGTCGTGTTTCGCATTCATTCGATGCAAGATGCAAAATAGATAACTATCTAAGAAAGTAATGAAATCAAAATTTAAGTAGGGAAGTAAAGAAAGTTGACAATTTGAGAGTGTCATGCAAAGCCTGCCACTAAGTTATTAAGTGAGATTACACAATCAAAATAAATTCCATAATAATATTTTTAACCTCAACCTTAGAATAAACAACCTTTTTTGTTACAAGAAATCATTCGTAATATCACATCTTATGGTGCAGATTATGGAATATTTGTTGTTTATGGCGTGAATAATTGCGTCATCACACATACAGCCTATCTGAGAGGGAGAATCATTGAGTTGTAGCGGTAACTCAAACAACCATCTACAGTTTCTTCGCCCAGTTGTCAAATACCCTTTTTACGATACAATAATGTGCCCTTAAAGAACCCCTTAAAGTTATCTTTAATTAACATCGATTCTCTTATAAATGTATACTGCTTTATATAAAAAGACGATTCAAACGTACGCTTTTACAAAAATAAACGTTGTTCGTTTATTGCATTTATACAAAATTGGATACTCGGTAACTAACGTCCATCGTTTTCGAAATATGCACTTATGACATAAAGCTTAACATAATCATCTAATTGCAAAATATACTTTTCTCAGAAGGGCAGTGAAACACTGAGAAATTTGTCCTTCCTTCTTCGTCTTTCGTCCCTTGTCGCACGTCTCAGGTCTCTCGTCTTTTGTCTCTCGTCCTTCGTCACTCGTCTTTCGCCTCTCGTCTCTCATCTTTCATCTCTTGGCTTTCATCACTCGGCTCTCGTCACACGTCTCTCGTCTCTCGCCTTTTTGATCCCACGTTTTTCGCCTCTCGTTTTTTATCCTTCTTCCTTCGTCCTCCTTCCTTCACCTTCCTTCATTCGTCCGTCCTCCGTTCTTCTTCCTTCATTCGTCCTTCGTCATTCTTCCCTCGTCCTTCTTCCTTCGTCCTTTTCCTTTGTACTTCTTCCTTTTTACTTCATCCTTCATCCTTCTTCCTTCGTCCTCTTTTAGTCCTTCTTCATTCTTCTTCCGGCCTTGTTTCTTCGTCCTTCTTCCTTCGTTCTTCTTCCTTCGTCTTACATCTTTCGTGAATGAACTCAGAATTTTCTCGGAATTATTTTGCACTTCTTTCCACCGCAAACCAATTATGTTATCACACTGAGGTATTTGCTAGTTTCTTATTCCTCAAGTTCTGTTATTTAATAAGAAATCTTAGCCGTTCCTTCCATATTTTTGATATTCAATATGCACTCGGAAATGTACCTTCGTATAGTTAATTTTATGTTAGTTGATATTCGGAAAAGGCAGGTTCTTCTTGTATTATTTGAGAGCATTAACTCAGTTTAGGAATATCACAAAAAGGTGCGATTGGTAGGAAAAATTAACGATCTTAAATATAACCACGTATTTATGGTACAAATGGGATGAAGAATGAGATTGATTACTAACTCTGAATGTTTTATTATTACCTTATTTAGTAGTTTTTTTACTGTAGAAAGATTTCTTTACTTTCAGCAGTAATTCCGAGACATTATTTTCAAGATTTGAAAAGAAATAATCCCTTTTCTTTGAGGATATGATGTGCTTTAGATGTACTTAAAATACTCCAGAGTGTCAAGATGCCTATTGTTTACAAGTCACTTCTCGTACCCAGCCTAACAAGTTGCATGAATTTATGCATATTGTATATAAATAGAATTAGACGCTATTTCATTACGTTACGCGTGCAGCAAAACAGTCTTAATTTAATGAAAAATAAAGGTTTCGTTTTCGGACTCCTCATTGAAACGATTTTGAAGTTGCGGATGAAGTTTTGGGTCCATGCCTTCGTTTCCATCACTTCACTGTATAGGCATCAACATGACGCAATGCTCCTTTTGTTTCAGCTCTAGCTAAGACCGCCCACGTGCAGTACGCGCCCGCCCCCGCTCACACCGCCTACGCCGACTACGACCTCGCCTACGACGTGGCGCCCGCCGGCTACCTGGAGACGGGCCCCGTGCAGTACCCTGCCTCCGCCGCCGCCCCCGCACACGCGGGCTACGCCTACTACTGAGCTCCGCCCTCGCCCCCGCCCCCGTCCCCGCCCAGCCCCGCACGCAAGCAGTATCTGTGACCAACACGCGCCTGCTCATCGAGTGTAGCGACCGGTAGCGTAAACGCTGGAAGAAGCTCGCGCAGCGTTGTCTTAATTCACTGCTTTTATTTGTAATTAGGGCAACGCTCTTGAAAGTTAACCAACCAAAGATTATTTATGCATAATTACTCATTTACACATACGTACTTTTAATCAGTTATTATAACACGCGGCTCAACTGTAGGTTAGAGCCATTCTTAACTACCACTTATCCTCCTCTAGAATAAACGATTTAGAGTAGCTACATTTTCCTCGCGCGTTTCGCGATTGGTCATTACCTCTGAACTGCGCGTGATGGTTACAAAAAAAACATCGCAACTCCGCCATATTCCCGGCGCCTGACTCCTTGACCGCAAAGTTGGCAATCAGCTGACTAGCGCGACGTATGCTTTCGGGACTTGGACGCTCATAAAAGGGAAGCAAATTCTAAAATAAAAATGGTGTTAATCAAAGTTCTTATAGGGTTTGCGTTTCACGGATACAAATCTTATTTTTATGGTATCAAATAAGTATATAAATATGTGTACAAGTAATTTAATATCTTGGGGGGAAACGTTCTTACAACCCGCAACTGCCTCATACGACTAAACACTCAGCGGTATATGCAAGATCGCCTAATATGCGTTGTTCTGTGTGTTCAACTATTAACGGGCTACCGTATCTCTTTCTAAATTATTGGACGAACAAATAAGGACAAAACATGACGATTAAAATTTATTGACTGATGTAATACACAAAGGAGAAATCTGAGGTAATGTATGAATACTTGTGTTACGTTCAGTTGACCTGGAATTTTTTGAAAACCTAACACCTTTGGATACAGAATTTGAACTCTGATCTCAGTAGTAATTTATTTTTTAAATATGATTACTTCTATCTTGACTCCCGACGATACTATTAAAAACTTTTTCTACAAGTTATCTCATTCTTAAGGAAAGACGATGCGGCATTTATAGGTACTTTGTTTACAAAAAACAAAGTATGCAATTTAATTCTTTATGTTTGTGTATACCATTGCTTGTACTCAAAACGTCATAGGATAATTAAAAATACATAAAAAATCAGACAACCGGGTAAAAGTTTTAATGAGATATATTTAAGAGGTCAGTATTGTTTTGTACTTTTGAATATGAATGATTATATTGAAAGAATGTATGAAGGTCACTGATAGACCTTTTAATACTATTGTACAATATCTGTTAGCATATTTAAGTTAATAAAATAATGTAAAATGAGTGATTTAATTATTTTTCCTTGACTTTCAAACACTATCCTGATACCTACTACCTGTTACTTACTATCCTGTTTCAAACCTAATTACAGTTTCACTGAAATTTTAAATTATCTTCTTCTTTTATGTATGTTGTACGCCTGCTTTTCTGCGCGCTTCATTCCGGGGATTTACTAGATGTTGACAGCAGATCTTTTCTCCATCTTTTTTCTGCGGCCTTCCAGCGTTTATCCTTCCTAATAATATCACATCCCTGGCTATCTCCACCAGTCTATTACTGCTCATTCATGTAATGGGGTTATTCCATAATTTTTTCCTTATTTTCATTAATTTTCATTAATTCATTATATTCAATATTTTATTAATCAGTTATTTTACACTTGTTTCTTAAATCCTGATCTCTTACCCTGTTTCTCCTGGTCTTTTCACCATCGATCGTACTGTGTTCAATTTTAATGATCGATGAAGTTGTTTTGTTTTCATCATATCAGCTTAAGTTTCAGCTGCGTATGTTACGTTAAAAATGTAGACTTTAACTTCACTTTCTATACTAAAGTATTTAGTTTTTCAAGTTACATCTCTTAAGTATACTTATACGCAAGCCTGCTCCTTTGCATGTAAGGCGATCATTGACGATATCCACTCCCAGGTTTTGGAATTACACTTGCTCGATGATTTTGTCTTCCATGCCAATCCACAGCCACTCCGCGCAGATCTCGCTGCACAAGCTGCCCCGCCAGCGCTCTCCCCGGAGCCTTATAGCTGGGAGCGGGGCGCCGCCGGGCAGTGGGGATGGCGGCAGCGGCAGCTTTCAACGGGCGAATCCGCCGCCATCTTTCATTTCGTACGCGCCCGCTGCGAAAGCCCCTCAGGCAATTAAGAGGCCCCTGGTGCGGGGCGGATATCCAACTACCCGCTTTCCCGTGCCAGCGTTGCTGTGCTCGTTGCGCCGCAGTCGAGTTAAAGGCGCGTATAACAAATGAGTTAATGGAAAATTAGATGAAAAATTTAATTTAGTAACAATCAGATTCGCGCCCAAGGGAACGAGGGGATCACGAGGATACAACATTCTCCGCAGAAGCTAAAGTCACTTGCTGACAAATGTGGGGTTTAGTAATTTTCTGCACTAATGAAAGTTATTTAATATTACCAATGAATTTGTTATAAATTATTAAAAGTAAACATATAAAAATAAATGTTTAATTTAGCATAAATTAAATATTTTTACAAGAAAGCCAAGCCTCTTGTTTAAATTGTACACCTACAGACCCCCACACACAGGAAATCCAGCACCACTGGTATTGATTCATGGAAACAGGTCTCAATACAGTGCGAGCAACGTTTGTTGATATTTCAGAGCAGAGAGTGTAGGGACGGGAAGGTTCCACCTATCTCACAGCTTCAAGGGCTTCCACGATTGTTGTAGTGAATTTTTCGCGCCACAAGGCGTTCTTATTAACCGAATCATTGGAATTGGTCTTGCGTGAGCTTTCACTGGTCTGAGTTGGACATCTCTCCTCTGCACCGTTCACAAAGATGTCGAAGGCTGATTCTGGAAGCTACCTATTCCACCTTTAAATTAGTTATCTTCGCATTTCTGAATGTGGACAATTCTAGAATGGGAGACGAATAATTGTGTGATCCCTTTCAAAAGTCATCTTGTCGACAACATAAATCTTTTCGTTAATAGTGTGTATTAAGGTGCATGCAAAATAATAATAATAATAATAATAATAATAATAATAATAATAGTAATAATAATAATAACAGATAAATAAATCAATAGCATGGTTCAAGAAGGGATAAAGTCAGTTTTTACTGATGTTCGGTTTGTATGTCAATTTTTACTGATGGTGGCCTTTAAAACCCCTTCTTTTAGTGGATTCGTAGACCAATGGGCATACCATTGTTTTGTTATTTCTGTGATGTAATAAACCAGCAGTTCTGTAAAACTTTGTCATAGTGACAAAGTGACCCTTCTTGCACCAAACCACAGAAATAAATATATCTAATAGCCGTATATCGACATTGTTGAACCACATAGATAGTCATAAACATAAAATACAATAGCATTGTACGCAAACTGCTAATACACGTGTCTACGCAAAAATAGTACTTCAATTTAAAGAGATTTGAAGAAACTTAGATAGTGACAATCTGGAAATTTCTAAGTGCTGTTCCGAATCAGGCCTATGTTTCTCCAAGGGCCGTCATATACAGAGCCGGACAATAACTAGGGGGGGGGTAGAATTTCAAGAAAACGTGTGCGTTTAATATTTTTCAGATCATTCACAAAATGCAAGACCACACAACACAACCATGCATCACAACTTCCATAGTTATTCATTGTATTCCCAGAGCTTTGTCACTCAGTTGTTTTATACGGCCATGACTACTAAAGATAAACTTCGCGGTACATGCATCGTCAAAAGTGCTACTTACCAATGAGTAAACAACAAACGGAAGTAGTGGTTTCCATAAACACTTGATGAAGAATATAATGCAATACGTAGACGACCCAGAGAGCTAAGGTAATTGAAATGGATCTTTCTCGCTTTGAACCTTTCTCGACAAGAAAAATCACGTGCTAATTCCGCACGTGATGCCCTGGGAATGAATGATTTTTGCTGGGTGATGTGTCAAGATGGGATCGTCCATTCTACCATGCATCATATTTCAACACCTTCAGTTCCAACCTCAACATGTACACCAACCCTTGTAATGGGTTATGTATAGCCGAGATGGACCTACTTCTGGTAGTTGAGGCGGGGGGGCCGATAGGTGTTGGAGAAATATAGAAGGGTGGCGGGACGGTATCGTAAGTTCCGAGAATCTACGTAGAAAGGAGTAACCAGGATGAAGGATCGTCTAGAAGATCAAGAGAAAATAAACATAATAATGTTACTTTCGTGGATTCATCCGAGATCTTGAAGCATAATACTCGTATAATAATGTTAACAATAAAAACGATAAACGAATGGTGCTACAGAATAGCATAGACTTTACAGTACAAGTTAGCTTTCTAATTTTTTTCTTTGGGCTTAGCTTTACAGTCTTGCCACATACTATTGCTAAGTGCCATCTATCGCCGTTCAAAGAACATTTTTTTGAACTTTTCCGAATTTTTTGGTTTCCTAATTGTAGAACAGAAAAGTTACTTTAAGAATCTTAAACAAGAGTAAAACCTCGTTCTATAAGAATATATTCGTTGAAAAATTGGGTGGCGTTTTCAAGAGAATGGCGTTTAAGAGTTACTTCAATTCGAAATTGAAAGATCTATTTGACAGAAAACTTGTCACTTTTCGGAAAATGTTATTGGAAGTCGATTACAGCACTTCCACTCTCATATGCCTGGATACAAATCGCTGGAAATATTTGTGAATGACAAATCACTCGTGAATATTTACGGCGCGAAAGATACGCCGTAATGTTACGCATTGGTTCAAGAAACGAAATGGATTTGGTTTTTCAGAAAATTCCCTTTGAGTGTTTCTGTGAGAGCAAAATGTGGAGCTAGTTTTTTCAGATAGGAGCTCAATGTTGTTGACATTTTGAGAAAAATTATATGACAACATTTAAACAAATGTGCTCATGAAAGTAATAATGTGAACAAATCGCATTGTAATGTAAATATTAAGAACGTGAGATAGATATTAAAAAATACATTTGTGTAATTTTAGGGAAAAAA